CTCATATATTTATTTCGCGAACTGTATTATTAAGAATGTATGTACAATCAAGGGCTGCCGTGAAAAGAAAATCCAAGGCTGTATCTCGTGTACTTGTACTGTCATGCAAGCGTATCTATTGTCGTGTCCAATAATGCCACCCATTTGCTAAAATGATGGGATTTTGCTTGAGTGTTCAGAATGCCATGCCCATGTTATAATTCAAAAATATAAACTAGTACCACTGGGTGAATTTTCCGTCGTAACGTGCACCATCGACTCTATGGGAAGTGCGCAAATAAAAAAAAAGAAGAAATATATATTTCCACCAGTAAATTTTAGACATATTGACTTTTAGGATACTGTAGATTCAGATATTTTTGCACTTACGCCATACTGATAACTCACGTATAGGTCGTGGGGAGTGTTCATTGCACAGCAATTGTCTACGCAACTTTGCAAAACCAAAATTTTGATGTACGCACATGGTAAATTCACGTACAGTATCAATAAATCCATGCAGTATCGATTTGATTGTAAAAAATTGCTTTCCAGGTTGGTTCTCCTGCTACTATATTAAAAAACATGTATCGTCCATAGTTCGAAAATATATTTCAATCGATTATCGATCGTACATAGCATGCCGTGTGGCCACCTGCACGCGAAAATTGTGAAAAATATTTGTATCCCTGCTGAAACGTTACTAGCAGTGTCGATGGCACGCGGACAAATTCAAGATGAGCGGCACGGGGCATGCTTGGCCCTGTTGGACCGGCCGCGAGAGTGGGCGTTGCAACGTTCTGGTCACCGGGACGTCGCACGGCGAGTTGTCGTCTTGGTTTGTATCAGCGCTACGTTCCGTTGGGACGGAAGACATGCCCACCACCTATTTCACCGCACCATCGACACCACGCGAAACAATCGCTCCGTGTTGGATGCAACATACCCTTCTCCATTCCATGCGAACCGTACGCACTCAGTCAATACGATGTGCATACACGTGCTCGTGTTCGCTTGATTGCGCCAACTCCCAGGACGGACGTTGACCCGTTGCGCATCGTCATCGGTGTCACTCCGCCTCGGCACCCCAAACAATTCACCTTTCGCAGTGAATCGTCCCAGCAAAAACAAAATATTTTTTCGCGGCCATACATTTTGACTGGGAATCGTGTGGGAATCCGAGTTGCATAAAATTATTGTGTGCTCGATTCGGATTGGCTGGACGATATGGACCAATCACACACCGATATGCGAAAAACCAATGTTGCACGCGAATTTTTCCAACGCGACCGACCACGATGATGGCATTCCGCAATTCCGCCACGACTGCACCATGCTCCATGCGACAGGGCCGGTCCAGCTAGCCATGCCCACCACACTGCAGCAGTCGCGCCCGATCATGCGCGAGAAGCGCCGACTATCAGACGCCGCCATCGCGCCAGCGTATCCCGTCAAACGAACGAGATCATTAACAGACTACGACTTCGAAGAAATGCTCGCGACCGTCCTGGCGATGGCGGAAGATTTGTACCTGTTGCTTGACGTGGTCGCCGACATATGCCAGGACAAAAAGTGTCGGCGATGCAACACACACGACATCGAGACCCTTCGAAGGAACCTCAACGGCATTGAGAACACCGTCAAGGATCTGGACGATGCCAAAGCTGTGGCGTGCAGCGTCCACGCCGTCCAAGCCATGTGTGTTGATTTGTTTGCCGTCCTCAAATACATCATGGGAGGCGCCCACTACGGAGATGTCGTTGCGCTCGACCTGGGCCACCTCGTCCTCGGGTGCCGCAACCAGTTTGCCCAGTTCATGATGCAATACTCACTCAATTAAACACAAATCTATCGACCAACCTCAGTATACCATAGGCAGTATATCGTCGTCTTGAATTGTAATATCACGACCCCGGAGTTTACTTTTTGTGGCGCACACTCTCCCGCCGGCGCGCCAGTTTTAGAGACAACTCGCTCTGGAGGACGGCCGACTTGGCTGGCGCCTGTTGCTCTTTTGCCGAGCCGCCTCCTTGATGGCGTTTCCGAAGCTTGGCCACGATGTCTCGAGCGTCTCCTTCGAGGGACTCAGAGAACTGATTGAACAAGTCATCGTCCTCGGGCAGGTCGGCAGATAATCGGTGCTGTTTTGGCTTCATCGCAGCCTTGAGCGCGTCCTTGCGGCGCTGGTCGTTCTCAGCCACGGCCTGCTTGTACGCTTTGCAAAAGTCCGACCATAGCCCAAAGAACCACTGCGCCATGTCCTGTCCAGAGCCACTGTGACCAACGTGGACCTGAAGGAAGACTTCGACGACACGATTACCCCATCGGACGGCTTGTCGACTCCGAAAGACCGTATCGCTCGCTGAAACTGGCCATCCAGACGCGACAGCAACTGCTTGATCGCAGCACAGTCCGCCTGCGCTGTTGTGACGAACGGCTGCATCTTCGAGCGGAATGGATCGCGCTGCAGCGTCAACTACACCAGGATGGCAACGTCAACACGTCGCTCGAGTTCGACCGACCTCTTGCTGCACGACTGCCACGGCGGCTTCAATGCCGCGGAGGTCCGTCTGTAGCTGGGTCAGCGAGATGGCGGCCGCTGCTTCCATGGACGGCAGCGAGTCGTAAAACGCGCTGGCATGGGGCGCCTTGGCCACGACGAGGTCGGCAATCACATGCAGCAGCGACTTGGCGCTCGATGTCGTGGCTTTTACCTACGCGCTCGACAACGGTGAAGCCAAAAATGTTGAGGGTTCTGAGAGCTCGAGGTTGGGGAACCTGGGCGAGTTTTGGCAAAATGTCGAGCTTGAAGCCCCACACACCGCCGCGCGAGGTGCCGCCGTTGAGATAATTCCCGACCGCGAGAATGATCTCGAGCACGGCGACAGTATGATGCGATGACGTGAGTTCGGACACGGCCTTCTCGAGGACCATGGCCTTGGCGCGAACATCGTCTTCACGGGATCGATGAATCCATGTTGTGTGGACGGCGCGGAGGCGCTGGGCGAGCCGGGGAATGTCAAGCACAGCCACAAAGAATTTTTCGGTGTCCCCAAGAATCGCAGGGTCGCCTTCGTAGCCCTAGAAGCGGCCACAGAATCCAAGTCAGCCTCCTCGCGTTGCAACTGTGTGAATTGCAAGGCTGGTATTTCACCTTGACTAGCTCGACTTCTTCGGGGGTCGGCACCAACGATTCGAGAATTTGAACGCTATAGATGCGTCAGGGTTGGATCGACGGCTCAGCGCCAGAGTAGGGTCATGCGTACCGTTCAAATGTAAGAACTGAATCGTCAAGGGTCAAGATCGCTTGCTTTAGTGCCAGCGGTGTCATGCGAAAGCGAGAGAGAGCGATGGAGCAATTTTGCTGCCGCTTCGGGTCCACCAAGTGCACAACTTTCGGCTTGATGGCGGCAGCTTGCGGTGGAAGGGTCGACATCGAGTCCGTGCGGCTGTTGCTGTCCTGGCCAAACTCTTTGTCCAATGTTCCGCTCAGATCCAACCCGAGCTTGGACTCGTCCATCTTTTCCCAGATCGACCCTTCCACGGCGGCATCGGGCAACGCCGTCCAGTACAACCTGGCATGTGTCAGTGCATAATGCGAAGGCTGACGTACCCGCGGAGTTTGGTGGTTGGAACTATGGCTTTCTTCGGGGGCAGCTTGGATGGAACAGGAGCGGGTGATGATACCAGTGGTTTCCCTGATGAGGAGACCTTTGCAGCACCAGTGAACTGGAGCACCGGCGGCGGGGCGTCCGCAGCGCTGCCAGTCGAGCCACAGGATGACGCTGCCAGGATGGTGTCCAACACCGACGGATCCAAACCTTCTGCCTGGGCTTTCAGCTTCACCTGGTCTTTGGGCATTCCCATCTTCAATAGCTTGACGAACTTGTCGTATTTGGCATCAGGTGTTGGCCCTGTAGACGACGACGAAGAGGTTGGAGGATGTTGGGCTTGACTAGGTTGTGCCAATTTGGAGGGATCGAGGCCCTCTGCTTTTGCCTTGAGCTGCACTTGCTCCACTGGCATGCCCATCTTGAGGAGCCTCGCAAACTTTTCGTACGCTGGATCGGCGTCTGACTCAGACAAAACCATGGATTTCTCCTCTGTAGACGGTGGCCCGCCACCGGCCGTCTTGACATCATCCAGGTCGCGGATGTCCATCCCTTCGGCTTTCATTTTCATCGCCACTTGTTCCTTGGGCATGCCCATCTTGACCAGCCTGGCATATTTCTCGAGGCGGGGATCCATTGGGGCTGCAACTGGCGCTTTTGTCGCTATCGTAAGAAGTTAGCCACTGACGAAGCATCGCGGATAAGATCAACGCACCTGGTGGTTCCACTGGTGCCAGTGAGGAAATTCGTTTGAGGTCCGTTCCAGGTGCAGAAGAATCGACGCCGTCCTGCTGCAGCTTGGCGACTTGGGATTCTAAGGCAGACACTTTCGCGAGAGCTGCTTGCAGCTCTTGCGTCAACGTGTGGCTGTCATCGATCTTAGCCAGTGTCGCTTCTTGCTCAGCACTCTATCGTTCCTCAGTCAGTTTACTTAGCCAACAGGATCACGGCGCCTCACGATCGGTTGCGCTTGCAGCACAATCAATTTGCCTCGAAGTTGGGCCACTTCCGCCTTCAACCGCTCGTTATGAGCCTTGGCATGTTCCAAGTCTTCGATTTGCTTGAGCGCCGACTTGACTGCGGCAAACGTCACGCGCTTCGTGGACAGATCCCTACCTCATGGTGTGAATGCCAAGATAGTGATGGAGGTATGCTCTACTTGTATGTATGACACGACGTGATTTGAATCAAGGCTTCTTCGGCCATGTCCCACATCTTTTCTCCGATCGAGATTTCACCCGGAATGACGAGCAGCGCGAGCAATGCATGGAGCAACCGGTCCGACCAGCCATGGGCCTTGGCGCGTTGCTTGAGTCGATCCACCACAGCGTCGACGTTGGCCAGGTCAAGGCCGTGCGCGATTGTGTCTTGCATGTCGGAATGCATTAGCCCTTCAAACACTTCGACTTGCTTGAAAAACGACTTGGCCGCGGCTTTCTCAGCATCCCCTTGGCCCCAAGCTCCGTAAGTCGTCGTTGTCGGTGTTGGTTCGAGGGCATCGTACTGAGCTTCGATCGCGTGGCAGACCACGAGAAGGTCCATTGCTAAAAAGTCATTTCGAACATCCACTCGGTCGTCCAGCGCCGAGCATGTGCTCACGAGGGTATTGATAAAGGTGAGGCACGCCGCCTGGAGCTCAAGGCTTTCCCCGTCTTTGATGCACTCGACAACGCTCCAGTACCGGGACCTTTCGTGGTTAGCCCGACGATACCGCTCCATCGCGTGGAGGACCGCGCTGTGTCCCGTTTCTGAGAACCAGCACATGAGCGACAGCATCTCGAGCGTCATGAGCGTGATGTCGCGTCGGTCAGGGGTGTCGAAATCGAGGCACAGGACGAGCACTTCGATTGCTTCGGGTTCTTGGAGAAGCAGCTGCATGCCGTGGCTAGACAAGCCGACAAACGTGACGTTCAGGATAATGGCGGTGGGATAGGAGGAGGATGGGTGTACTGGTTATTCATGAGGCACTTCAAACAGCGCATGGCATCGTGGAGCAGCGTCGTGTGGTTTTCCGACGCCACGGCCGCCATCCATTCCGTGAGCGCGACAACGCCGTCTTCTTTGTGAAACTCCGTGAGCCACTAGCTTGTGTATCAAGCACAGCCACGAAAGAAATGCGTAGCGCGAGTGGATCTTACATCCTTGTCGCACCCGCGCATGAGCACATGCAGCTGCCGTGCGTCGTCGTTCGTGAGCGTCGTGACGTCTTCGCAGACAGCATCTTGCAACTTGTGGACCCAATAGACCGGCTGGGTGCGCTCGCTATGGTGGCTTTTTGAGTTTTGTTTCGCCATCCAGTCCTGGATGATTTGCCACTTTTGACTCAACGGCAGCGTTCGCATGCGATCCGTGGCAGCTTTCGGCAACGCCATGTTCTCCACCGCTTCGCTAAACAGGCGTTCGATTTCGAGTTCGTTGGTCGGCATGGCCGAGTTGGCTGGTTCTGTACGGAATCCACATGGATTCTCATGCGGAAGATGCACAGGACAGTCTTACCTTGTGGAGTTGAGTTGTTGCTCTTGGTCTTGCGGCTTTTGAGGCCCAACGCACGAGACAACTTGTGCGAGATGCTCTTGGTCTTCTTCTTCACCTGGTCATCCGTTCCAGCGCCGGTCGTCGTCGGGGCCATCGCGAAGGGCCACGCACACCAGTGCTCGAGGACGTAACTGCTTTCAAAGCCACCGGTTACATCGTCAGGGCCACCGGTTACACTTGGAATATCGATGCTCTTTGCACAAAGCCACGACGGCCACACTCTGGAGGTTCGAGTTCGTTGGCCCGGGCCACCGGTTGCAGGTAGAAGAACGTCATGTTGTCCCTGAAACTTGGAGGCAAAGTCGAGCGACGAGGGGGGCCACCACGTCACTCCCATGGCCATCGCAAGACGTGAAGGACCCATCTCCGTCGCAAGCGCGATGAAAATTGCATCCTTTTCATCATTGCTCAACGTTGCCATGCCCTTCGCAGTCTAGAGAAATCACCTCGTCCTTCCACTTTGCCTTCGAACGTCATTTGCTGGCGACCATTGAGTTGGCTTAATAAGTCGATCTCCTTGGCAGAGATTCCCAGTGACTCTCTCCAATGCAGGACGCGATCTCGGACAATTCTGCTCATTCTTTCCGATGCGATTCCCCGGACGGCGGGGGAGCGGAGGCTTCGGACAAGTTTTAATGAATCGCGCATACCGCGTGCTATTGCTTTTTCATAAAGCCAACCTGTGATAACGATTGTATGAGCTGGCAATCTGTGGGCGACTTGAAAGCGGTGCTTTCAAGCCAGTCTGGAATCGATGCTGCGTGTCCTGTCCGTGACACCTCATGTCAGTGCATGGCTTGGTAGGGCAGCCTCAGCCGGATCTCCTGGATGTGCCAGCTGCCACAACCAGCATTGCGCAAACCGACGTGATGGCGATATTCCTGCGATTAACGTGCGCTTGTTCGATACATTGCCCGTGGTGGCCTACACCTATAGTCAGCCCGATTCCAAAACTTCCCTTCCTTCGCCGAGTAGACCCCCATCGCGACAGCACTTTCCATGCAATGCCATTCCTCCGACATCGTATGGGCCATGACGTTCGTGCATTCTGCTTCCTAAACATGGTAGAGAAGCTTTTCACCAGTTAACACTCGCACAGTACGATTTCCTTTCGACACGAAGTATATCTGCTCATGCACTTGTCTGATCTAGCATGCATGTGGCTATGCTCGCGCCAACGTTTCTCAATGGGCCATGCCATCTTCACGCGGTGCCAACACAGTCACTCGCTGGCACGGGCCCAAGTCCCCGGTCCAAGCCACCGGTTGCAGGTAGAAAGTCATGCATTCGCTTCGTGGAGGCAATGGCCAGCGAGGTTGGGTGGCGCGGCCCCGCCATACGACGCCGCAGTCTTGGCCGTCAAACACGTGTTCAAACACGTGTGTGTATTGCACCGTCGACGGCACGTTCCATTGAAGGGTCGCTGTCTTGTGGTCGACTTCCACCGCCGTGACAGCAGGAGATGGCATCGCTCCCAATGGACAAACGACGACTTGTCCGAGATGCACTGCCCACACCTCGGCGTCGTTGTTCAAATTCACTCCAAACACCGACAGGGCTTGGATGACGTGGCCGTCCCACAGCGCCCCGCCCAAATGGTACACACGTGTCCTCCATCCATTTTGGAGGGTTTCCGAAACCGGGCCGTACGCGCGCGTGTGTTTGGCACGGCCAAGCAGAGGCGACAACGACGAGTAGTGAGGTGGAGATGGCTGGGCAGCAGCAGGCCCCCCTCGCAGCACCAATTCCTCTTTCGACGTCAGGTTGAGGGCGATCCCGAACGCGGCAGGATCTGCGGCGGTATGGAACGTATACGCAACACGGATAACTTTGCGTGGGGCAAAATGCACTTGCAACGGCAGCAGCTCAACACTCGCTCTGGCTTTGGCTGGCAATGTTGCCTACAACCACACACGACTCAATATGCAAGCGACGTTGAGCAAAGGCGTACCGAGAGTTGGAGGCTGGACCCGCCTTGAAACGACATGTCCATCGAGATCTGCATGTGGATGGGCGACTTGGTTTTGTTCAACGTGGGCAGCACGTCGGTATGAGCGTCGTTTTGCCAAGGAGTAGATGACACCACACGCCCGTCAATGGCTGTGCTCTCGCCACGGCCGACGTTGAACGCAGTGTACAGCGCTTCCGACCCACCTCCATGAAGGTTTTCCACGGGACTCAGCGCCCGCCAATTCGTTGCCCAAAACGCAGCCTCTGTGACAGCCTACCCAGCAACACGACGTCACTCGTGCACCAGCCATTACAATTTGGATGCATGGGCAGTACGAACTTGAATTGGGACGCAAATGGAAGCGTCAGCGAACCGCAGCATCCGCGCCGAGATTTCGTCCGACTGCAATGGATCGAGGCCAAAGTGGAGTTTCCAGCGATGGCCTCCTGCAACTTTGGCCAACTTGGTCAGAGCCGTTCTGTCCGTCAGTGGTGGCAACATTACTCCATCGACCACGGGCAACAGCGCTGTGAGTGCGTCAAGATCGTGTGATACTTCATCCGCGGCGTCTGCGGACCACAGAAGGTATGACGACGTCAAGTGTGGCAGGAGCGTCTCAATGGCAGTCTCGGGCAGGTTTGCCAGGTGCCATCCATCAAAGCCCACCTTGTCTTGAACTCGCTTGAGCTGGCCAGCGAGTTCCTAGCATCGAATCACCAACTCATTCGTGAGACTCGCTCGATCAACAAACCAAGCCATACCTCCCAGTCGCAAGCTGACGATGCTGCAGTTGTACTTGTGGCATCCCACGTGACAGAACCCAGCACCCTCACGCCGTTGCGATGTGCTGCATCCGTTTGTCCTGGTTGTGGCAACGCCAGGAACGATGTGGATGTAATCACCACCGTGTCAATGATCTCCCATGGCACGAATTCGCCTCCCGTTGTATCAGCACCAAACTCGTCTGCTGTGTGCGCAATAGTTGAGCCGCAAGAAGACAATACAGCCAGGTGGCTTCGCTGGCGGTTTGCTGCTCGTGGCCGCCTCGCCAACGGCAAGGACGCAGTGGCCTCGAACGGGATAGAATCCACCTCCCATGCCAGGAAGGCTTGGACGGTTTCTGGCAGGTTCTGACTTCTTGACGTGGCATCGCGTCGTTGCAGCAAGGATGGTTTCAGCGACAAGACAATATCGGCGCCTGGCATGTTTGGAACAAGAAACGTGTCGGGGTCCATGGCCAAGCGTCCTGCAAGCGCTCGAGATTCCGCCATCGACAAGACTTTGCTGGCCGACGTATCGATGACAAACTCTCCATTTCGAAACAATACTTCATGCCATTGCGACGTGAGTGCGCACCGACGCTGGAGTTCCTGAATGATGGCATCCTTGCCAGCGACGCGGTCAAGGTTGACGTGATGCAGCTGCACATGGTTAAGTCGACACAAGTCCAGCACTGGAGTGACCCCGCCAGTCGTAAAGAGCACCACAGGGGACTGGCTAACTGCTGCCGTCACGAACAACTCGTACTTCGTTGGCCCCGCTACCTTCCCGTCAGTGCTTCTTGCGTCTGCGGCTGGACATGCGGCGGAAGGCGCGGTCGCCACCAGGCGAAATGAGATGTAGTACATCAACGTGAGAGCTCCTACAAGTGTGCTCATGGCTACACTGAGCCAGGCGGCGGCTGGAGGCCAAGCCGTTGCATCGAGCTCTGTAACCATGGTGCTCTGTCCACGTGGAGAAGTGCCTGCGAAATTCATTTTTATCCGGAAACGTACGGATACTCGACATTACTAGGACGTGGCAGGCCCAGCGGTAGAGCTCAGCCGCCGGCGCGAGAGATCCTTTCGAAGGAGGCCCCCGCCACCGTCAGCGCCTTTGTGGTGGCGTGAGCGGTAGTTCGCTACGATATCACTCGCATCGCCTTCCAACGAGTCGGTGAACTGCTGGAAAAGGTCGCGCTTGGACTCGTCATGCTTGGCCTTGCCCTCTAGCTTGGACTGCTTGTCCTTTAGCACCGAGTTCTCGATCGCGACTCGCTTGTATGTCCTGCAAAAGTCTGACCACGTCCCAAAGAACGTTTGCACAGCATCCTGCAAGTGTCCACGAAACATGAGCCGACACCGCTACGTACATGTCCTACCGCTTCGTTCGAGCCCTTGGCCGTGTCCACACCAAACGACAGCGTAAGATGGTGGAACTTGGCATGGAACGTCGACATGGCGGCTTGCAGCGAGTGGAAATCGGATTGCGCGGACGTCAAGAAGGTCCCCATCTTGGCACGAAACACGTCGTCTTGGTGCGCTTTCTACACATACGAACGGCGGTCACGCCAAGCGACAACATGCCATGCAACCTCTTGCTCGATCTGGAGCAGCGATGCTTCGATCACGTGGATGTCGCTCTGGAGCAGTGTAAACGAGATCGCAGACACATCCTCGAGACTTCTCAGCGACTCGTAAAAGTCGTGGGCGGCAGGCACGTTTGCAGCCACGTAGTCGGCGATGACATGGAGAAGGGTCTTGTTTGGGCTGGTGGTGGCCTTGACCTGTATGTCCTCGATGTGAGTACCTGCGGCCCGTTCAATGCAGCCGGTCTTGCCTGGGTTAGCTTGGGCAGAATGTCGAGCTTGAATCCATATGCTCCTCCTCGGGAGGTCCCGCGATTGAGGTAATTCCCCACGGCCAGTACGACTTCCAGCAACGACAGCAACTTGGTCGATCCCTTTAGGTCCACGTACGCTTGCTCGAGCAACTTCAGTTTTCCCTTGACGTCATCGTATCGTTGACCAAACGTCAACGTCGCTTCCATGGCTTTCAATCGGTTCGACAGCCGCGGGAGGTCGGATATTGCCAGGAAAAACTTTTCCGTCTCGCCGAGAACGGCCACGTCCCCTTCGTACCCCTACGCGATTTGTGAGTGCCGCCGGCACGGAGTCCAACAGCCCATCGCACCTTGACCAGATCGAGCTCTTCGGGGGTTGGCACCATCGCAGCCAAACTCTGAATCCTATCCACGTCACTTGAACCAGTGTTCGATCCACAAAGCCTCGGTACCTCTCCAAAGTCAAGAGCTTGTCGTCCAGCGCGACGATGGCTGCCTTGATGTCCTTTGGTGCCATGCGAAATCGCGACAAGGCAATCGAGCAGTTTTGCTGGCGCTTCGAGTCGACGAGGTGGACAGTCTTGGGTTTCCCAAGGGTCGTTCCATTCCCACTGCCGCTCTTTGTTGAGGACGTGACGGCTGGGTCGTTGGCCTTCTTGTCTTGGCCAAATTCCTTGTCGAGCAATGTGTAGTCCAGACCGAGCTTGGTTTCATCCAAGTTGAGCCAAATAGACCCCTCGACGGCGGCGTCGGCAAGAGGCGTCCAGTACAAACTACGACGTTGCAGAGTAATCCACGACAAGGGAGAACGGCCTACCTGCGAAGTTTTACACGGGGCACGGTAGATACCTTGGCCGGTAGCTTGAAAGATGGAGGCGAGGGCACAGGTGGGGACGACGCCGGGGGCTTGGAACACTCGCAGACATCGGGTGCAGCTGATGACGATGTCAGCGAGGGGCGTGCGAACGCCACTGTGAGTTTGCTCGGGTCCAGGCCTTCCGCTTTGACCTTGACCTGGATTTGCTCGAGCGGCATGCCCATTTGCAATAGCTTGACGAACTTGTTGTACTGCGGGTCCAACGGAGCAAGTTCCTCCCGTGGAGGCAATAGAATCGACGACGAAGCGTCGCTAGTTGGCGAGGAGATGCTCCGTGGCAAAGGATTTAACACAGATGAGTCCAACCCGTCCGCCTTCATCTTGAGGGCGACTTGCTCTGTTGGCATTCCCATCTTGAGCAGGGTTAAGTACTTTTCGTGTTTGGGGTCGACTGCAGGGGCAAGTGGTGCAGCGCGGACAATGGGCAGAGCGTTTGTGAGCACAGGGGGAGCTGCAGAGGGGACTTGAAAGCCAGAAGAATCGACGCCATCAGCCTTCATCTTCATCAAGACTTGTCCCTCGGGCATTCCCATTTTCACGAGCTTCGTGTACTTTTCGTACTTGGGGTCAATGGCAGTGGATGTCGTGGAGAGGTCGGGTAGTGGAGGGGGCGTTTGGTCGAGAAGCGCAGGGTCAAGCTTGTCCGCCCGCATCTTCAACGACACTTGGTCTTTGGGCATGCCCACTTCGAGTAGTTTGACGGACTTTTCAACGTTGACGTGTGTAGGTGTGGGAGACGAATGGGCCAAGGGGAGTTGTTGCTGCAGGGGTTGCGCCTCGGTGACGGACTGTTGTGGGGTTGCTGGTGGCGCGTCCAGCAGCAACGGGTTGAGTCCTTCGGCTGTCATTTTCAGCAGAACGTGCTCCTTGAGCATTCCCATCTTCATGAGCTTGAAATACTTGTCCACTTTTGGATCCATCGTCAGAGAGGGGGCAAGTGGTGGTGGTATGGATGGCTGCTGAACATCACACAATCTCAATCAAGCGTTTACGCATAATGGCACCCTCCTTACCGAGCCGTACTCGGCGCGAACGAGGTCGGCTGGATTCAGCCCTTCGGCCCGCATCTTGGCTTCCATATCGTCACGAGCTGCCGTGCCATCGCGAAGCCGTTTTAAGTTCAAGTCGTAGTGGGAATCTTTCGACGTGGGCAACAGCATGTCATCGGTTTGCGTCTCGACCGCTTCACAGCCGTACAATCGATCGGTTTGCACAGCCGCCACGGTCGTAGGAACCCACGTTTGTGTCGATTCGCATACGATGGACTACGTTTGCAGGCGGGTTGAGCTCGCCACATCGGCTGCGCCTACTTGATGTTTGAGCCGCTCGGCGTAAACGTAGTCGAGGGCGGACTTGAGCTCGGCGATTTCGTGTTCCCTGGCTTTGACCGTTGCATGGCAACGCTACAGCACATCCAAAGTAACTTCAGCCTGCTTTTCAATGGACGGATTACCTTGGACTGCGCCTCCAGCGCCGCGACCGTCGACTCGAGCGTTGCGATCGTGTCCACTTTGCTCTGGAACAACTCGACACTGTCCTGGAGGTCGCGAACCCACTCAAACGAGATTTGACGGGGTGCCCCAGCCAAGTCCCTACAGTTGACCTCGCATTACGCAAAGTAGGCGAGGTAAAATCGTCGCAAGATTTACTGGTAGGTGTGCAGTGACGTGATCTGCAGCACGGCTTCTTCCATGAGCTCCCACATTTTTGTGCCCATCGTAGCTTCACCGGGAATCCCCATGAGGGCCAACAAAACGTTTAGAAGGCGGTCGGAAAACCCGTATCGACTAGTCCACGCCTTGAGTTGGCCAAAGACTGCGTCGACGTTGGTCAGGTCGACGTTGTGGGTCACTGTCTCCTCCATGTCCGACACCATAAACCCTTCAAACACACGCAGCTGCTTGACAAACGCCTTGGCTGATGGTGGCTTAAACTGCTCTTCCTGTGATGGGGACATGCTCCCGAAACGTGGCGGGCTCGGGGGAGGTTCCAACTTGGCCTGGATCACATGGCACACCACGAGCATGTCGAGCGCCAAAAAGTCGTTGCGCACATGGACGCGATCTTCAAGACAGGGGCTCGCGCCGACAATCGTGTTGATGAATGTCAAACAGGCCGCGTGGAGATCGGTGCTGTCGGACGACGTGAGGCACTGCACGAGGCTCGCAAACCGCGCGCGCTCCTTGTGTGTGCGTTGGTACGACCCCATCGCCTGCACGACGGCAACCTGCCCTCGCTCCGAGTGCCAGCAAAAGACAGACAACATCTCGAGCACCATCATCGTCACGTGTTGCTGGGAATAGTTGGAGAAGTCGAGGCACTGGGCTAGGGTGTCGATGTGGTGGTCGGTCGAGTCGAGAAGAAGTTCTAAACCAAACCTGGGCATGGAAACACGTCGTCAGGTTAGAAAGCGATCAATACGAACAATGACGCACGGATTTGTCATGAGTGTCTTGTAGCAGCGCAGGCATTCGAGCAGGACAGCATTGTCGAAAGTGAATGTTGGGTCGGCCATGTCGGCTGCCCGGAACGCCAGCGCGGCCATGTAGTTGCACAAACTCGTCACCCCTCCGTGGCGATGAAACTTGTGGAGCCACTGCAAGATCCATCAAACAAGAGTTGCGTCAAGTAGGAAGGCTCGATTGTCATGGATACCTCCTTCGATGCCCCGCGCATGAGGACATGTAGCCCCCTCGCCTCGTCCTCTGTGAGCGACGTGGCGCCGCCACCCGTGTCCAACGCGACCGCCTGCAGCTTTTGCACCCAAAAGATCGGCTGTCGGTGTTCGTGATCGTGCTGGCGTTCGTGTTCGTGCTTCTTGGACCATTCCTGGACGAGCTGCCACTTTTGGTGGATCGGAAGCGCCCACATCCGATCGGCGGCGGCATTCGACAATGGCATCTTGTCCATCATGTCACGAAACAGCGCGTCAATCTGCGACGGTTCGGAAGGACGCGTGAGTGTCGGGGACACCACGAGCGACGGCTCACGCTCGAGGATCTCGTGGCTCAATGACGGCGGCGACTCCAACGTGAAGCTGTCCTTGCGATGCTTTGGCGACTTTTTCGATTGCCTACCCGACCATCGACGGAACGGATTCATCCTGCGTACGCGCGCGCAGCACGCCTTGGATCAAGTTAGCAGATACGAATTCGCAACTGGCAAAGATCGCAACGGGTCTGTGGCGGAGATTGGCACGAGGGTGCAACATGGCCGAGCCAATCAAACAGCGTACTCAGTTACGACACAGACGACCCAATGAATCCTGCCTTTCCCAGGAACGTTCACCGCTTTACGACACGTAAATGACCAACTCCGTATGCTGTCATGGCATTTCGCCACTGACGACATGCAGGTGGGCACAATCTCGATGACAGGCCAGCTCTCCACTTGGCCAACGTCGCTTCAGTCGTACGAGCTGGACAGAGGGACGACAGCGCCGTGAAGTGTGCACGGTTGCCAGGGCTTGAAAAATGCACGTGGTGGGTCGGTTGAACGGGGTGTTCAAGATGCTTGGCTTCCTAGACATGAGCTGAAGTCATAAACGGGCAAAAGTATGGGAGTCGAGATGGTCGGCTCAATTGCAGTGGTCTAGCCGTGGGCGAGAGGACTTTCGCAATGCTTGACTGGTCCGCGTTGCAGCACTGCTCTTGCGGTCGGCGGCATATAGATTCCAGCAGCGACCACGAGGGCATTTAGTCAACCGCACCTTGACCTCAATGTGATCTATCCCATGAGAACCGGTAGCGATGACTACTGGGGGTGTCTGGACGTTTAGAAAGACCCGTAGAGACGCGTGCTTACTGCCGTGAACAACGCGCCGACCTGTCAAGAGCAACCACATTTCATAGATCTTCTGTTGGGCTACAGCCATCCTCCAGTTTGTCACTGCAACCCACAATCACCAAACAAGATCGACTGCAGGAAGAGATGCACCATTGTGCGGAAATCATTCGGGTACGAATAACGACGTGCTAGTCGGATCCAGAGCAGGGAGCAAAAGCGAATAAACTCCTTCGTGCTGTGTTTGGCCACGCGATGGAGGCGGTGGCAACAAAGCCGACCGAATGGGGTGTGCTCCAAATCGTACGACACTAGCAGTGGCCACCAATACCAGCCTTTGCATGGGACCGCGACGACCTGTACGATGTCGGTGGGTAAGTTTCTGCGTGGGAAAGGCAGCGACTTGCACACATGGCTTGGCGAACCGTGGGAGCCCTTTCTTTGCACGAGCACCAAGGTGTTACTGGGTGACGGCCGACATGAAGTATTTGATTCTGCCGAGATGTGGGGCAGACCAGATTCGATCGGGTTTTGGTGACAAGGCTGTGTCAAACGTGATGGAACTGTCGAGTTGGCAATGCCAGGGCGGCGGAGTGACCGCCACAGACGAGCTGACAAAGACGTTTGACCTCCAAATCGGTCGGAGAGCCAACCATCTCGGTTTGTGCACTCGAACAGAAATCGTCCGCAGTTCTTTGAGCAGTTGGTCCAAGCATGGGTATGGCGACCATTTCGACGGAGCCTTCTTCACATAAACGCTGACCACGACAAGACATCAACGATTCCGTGTTGTGCTACAGAGGTGGTGATCACGGTCAACGATGGAGTGCGTTTTACGTGGCCCTGGGGGACGCAGCGTTGTGTTTCCTCGTCCGTGTGGACACAGGAACAAAGGCGGCTGTGGGCGATCAGGTTGTGGCGACGGTGAAAACGTCCTCAAACTTTGAATAATGCACCGTGAGGATGTGTACTTCGTTTCAAAATGTCACGTCCGACCTCGGCAGGGTGTGATCGGTCTACGGCGGACAAGTGAACGTTTGTCCAGTGGCAGCGATGCCATCGCCAGATTGTGCTTTCACACGGTGGCGCTCGACCACAAGACCTCAACTGCAGTGTGGGAGGTGCTATCGATGGTGCAATACACACACGGATACAATGCGTGCTCGTCGTGCGATGGAAGTGGCGTGGTGGGGCCGCACTACCCAATATCTGCCTGTTCTCAACGACGGAAGGACGATCTTCATGCAGCTGATGTCGTGGACTGGGATCATGTCGATCGGCGCCAGGCCGGGCAATTGAGGCGAGCGCGCGCCAATTTGTATTGGGACCTCCGTGGAGGCGTAGATCTGGCTGTTGCCAATGGACCGGGCTGCGGAAACATCGACGACCGTTTTAGGGGGGAATGGGCCGCACACGTAGCTGGAAGCGGTGAAAAGCCAAGTAGACTCTTGAAATTGGGGAAACATGCCGACACACAGTGTTCATTCGTGGAGCGTTGAAACGCCGGCGGTCGTGGACGCAACAGCTTTGCAACCCACCACATGAGTCCAATACCACGGACTTGCAAGTTATCTTCCCACCGATACATACAGGTGCAGTTGAACCCACAGGTCCCGTTGAGATGCTGGCTTTCGACTTGCCGACGGCGAGGCTTTTTGGGTGGTTGGAGCCAGACATTGGGACGAGGGCAGCGTCGAAGTGCACGGCAGTCAGGGCTTGTCTGCAAGAGTATGATGGAGAAGGGACGTTCACGGTG